AATCTTGTATAACTGTTACAATATTTTATCTTTGCTACCCTTTTTGTAGCCAGTCTGAATGCCTTCTCATGTGATAAAAGATTGATGCACTCTGTTTTAACTGTACATCCCACATGTTTAATAGTTCATGTATTTGACTTGCAATATTTCATGTTCCTGAGGTTTTCTGTTTGGATATCTAGGTTTATAAAGTTTATTTTATTTTAACTTTTTTTCAATACTTGCTTGCATCTTTATTGTCAAATGTTAAGATGCCTGTGTAGAATAAACTGATGCTTTTTCCCCCCTTCACCATGCTAGTTTATCCTCACATACGCTCAGGAAAGTGGTATTTTCCTAATTACCTTTCTTTTCTTTCTTCTTTATTTTAACCTGCGTTTACACTGACCAGTGCTCAGTGGTTATAATGAGTATTCTAAGTAGTAGATAATTTATAGTAATTAAGTTGATCAGTGTTCTATATGACTTGGAGGGCATAAACCTGTGTGTGCCACTTTACTTATGTCATTTCTTATAATCATATAGTTCTGAAATAAAGGATGTGCTTGAGAGAAAATTAGTATGTATATGTGATTAACAGATTCATAATTATACTATATCATTAGTCTCTATAATAAAGTCATTATTAGGTGTCTTTATCTTCATTTATTCTGTTTATCATTTTCCCAAGGCTATGTCCATCCTTATTATACACTTTTATGTTCTGTGTTTGAGAATTAGTTTGTAATTCCTGGATAAAAGATGCTATTCAAATTTAAAGATTACTATTTTAATTTCCACATTATATTAGCATTGGCCCGGTGGTTAGGAGGCTAAGGCAATCAGAAAGCTTTTTGTCTTATTTGTGTAAATGATGACAAACATATTTAACAATATTTTATTCCAGTGTGTCTTAATATTATTTTCAGTAACCCCTTTTTTTTAGTCTTTTCTCTTTGCTCAAATTTTGTTTTGCCCAACAATTTTCTTTCCTTTCTTTTTACAAAAACATTCGACTTTAGGTGACGTTGCATGGATACTTATTTTTTTGTAGTTCACTATAATTTTTGATTTTTTATATTGCTATTTTTGTAAATTTATACAGTTGTGTCACTAGAATGCACAGTCCTTACTTAAAACCAGGCAGGTTTTAGGGAAACATGTCAGGCATCACCAGTTTGAAGCAACTACTAAAATATTCATCTTGGAAATTCCTACCTTAGCCTATCATATTGCAAAAATCAGCCATTATAGAGATAATTGATTGCTATCTGTTTTTCTTTTAAATATTTCCTTATTGATTATATTTTTTATACTTTAAAATATCCTTCTCCACATTTCCCTACATTTCAACTTTTAAAAATGTGATATTGTTTGGGGGTTTTAGTAAAGATTCCCTTATATGTATTTTCTTGTTTATGGTGCTGTGTTTTGAGTTCTATTCTCACATGTTCTTTCTTTTGCTAAAGGGTTGGGTTTGTATGTGCCAAGATTCATGGCTGCCTTCCTCGATTTTGACTAACCTTTCCGGTTTGTGGGTGAAACTTAGGTGCCATTAAGAGTGATATATTTTTCATCGTGTCTCTCCTAAACTTGCCCTCCCCAGGAGGCCATTATTTCCTACACTTTATTTTCTGCTTTACCTTCTGCTTTTCTTAGATTTCTAATGTAAACAGTATCTCTAAGAGTATATTGGTAGCTTTAAAGAGCTTCATTTGCATATTTCTCTCTTATCTCAGTACTTGTGCTAACTTGTTGCTTTTTTTCGTGTAACAAAATGTTTATCTGACTGATTTTTCTCTTTTTTCCTACTAGTGTATTTTGAAAAATAATTCTTACTACATTTTTATTTTTGTTTAATGATAAACTGCCTTCAGGGACTGAGATGGTAATAGTAAAACCTAGGCAATAAACATTGCATCTCTATTTTGGGCGAGACAGTAATGTTCCTCATTTTTATAGGAATTACATTTCATAGATTATCTAAATAAGAGGATCATACTTATGTGCTAATGACCATTTATGTACCCTAGCTTACAGAAACACTTATTGCTACCACAGATCTATTTACCCACCCAAACTTTCCTGTCTTTCGCCCGGTGTAGATTAGTTTAAGAATGGTGGCATCTTTTCCTTTTTAATAAGTTAGGTCTCTTTTCAAGTGACCCAAATTTTAACTCGGCCACGGTGGGCCACGTATTTCTTCCTCCAACGTGCTCTATAGCTCAGAAGTGAGGGAGTTTTGAACTTGCCTCTGACTTGTATAGAAAGCTCTTACTCATCTTTTTTTTTTTTTTAACGTTGGCTCGAAATAGTTTAGGATTCATCCTCCTTTGAGGATAAATATTCGCGAGAGCATTTTAAAGATCCTGGCCTTTCTTCCTCTGCAAACGTGTCAGCGCCCTCCGCGATTCTCGGGAGAGCTCAGTCCTCCTGATGGTCCCCCTTCAGCCACTTCCTGAAGTCCCCCAACCTCAGTACTCTGCCTGTCACCTGCGTGTCCGGCCCCTCTCCCGCAGGGCCGGTGCGCCCTCCCCGCCTCGCCGGTCCCCTGGGGGCCCGCCAGCGACGCTCCCGACGTATTCCTTTCTGTGGCTTTTGTGGCGTGTGGGTGGGCGGTTGGTTGGCTTTTCCCCTGGTCCTCGCCCCCTCCTCCCCACCACTTGCCTCCCCGCCGCCCCCTCCTCCCGACCGGCCCCTCCTCCCCGCCGGCTCCCTCTCGCACACCTGCCCCGGCCGCCCGCGCGCCGCGCGCTCCCCTCCCCGCCGCGGCGGCCGCTGCCAGGGAAGCCCCCTCTCCTCCTCCTCCTCCTCCTCCTCCTCCCCGCGCCCTCCCCGGCGCGCCCGGCGGCGGCCGGCGCTCACCCTCGCGCAGCGCCCTGTTATTCTGGGTATTGTGTGTAATAAATGTCGGGCCGCCTCACTCTAATCAAGCTCATTACAAATTCTTGCGCGCCCGGGGCCGGAAATCGTGCGCTCCCCCCCGCCCCTTCCCGCACTCATTCACTAGTTACTTGTCTCGCTGCTTTTTAACTCGCCGCCCCCGCCCCCTCCCCCGATCCCGGCCCTCCAGCCCGGGTTTTAATCCCCATCCCTCTTCCGCCTTCTCCGTGCACCCGGCCCCCCCCCGCCCCCCCGCCGCCTTCCTCCTCCGCTCCGCACCCCCTTCCTCCTCCTCTCGCTCCCCCCCTCCTCCGCCGCCGCCCGCCGCCGCCGCCGCCACTTTCTCGCTCGCTCCCGCTCCCCGGACGCGGCGGATGAGCCGGCCCCGCTGGGGAAGGGCTCGGGGCGGCGGCGGGCGGCCGGGAGGAGGCTGCGTGCTCGGGGCTGGGGCTGCGAGCGGGGTGATTTTGTATTAAAATGAGGAGGAGGAAGAAGAGGCAGCCACAGCGGCGGCGGCGGCGGCAGCAGCGGCAGCAGGAGCAGCGGCGTAGAGGGCTGCAGCCCGGGCGGACGCGCGGAGCCGAGCTGGGCACGGCGGCGGCGGCGACAGCGGCCGGGATGAGTCAACTAATAATTTAATGGGGGCAGACACGGCGACGAGGGGGAGAGCGAGAGCGAGCGAGCGAGCGAGGGGGAGCGAGAGGGACGGCCCCGTCCGGGGACTCGCGCTCACACGCACACACACACACACACACACGCGCGCACACACACACCTCTCCCCGTGCCGCCCGGCAACAACCGGCCTCGTCACAACAACAACAGCAACAGCCGCCCTCTAGCCTGCCCGGGGACCGAGCCGAAAGCCTGGGCGACTCCAGAGGACGCTCCCCACCCCCCCTCTTTCATTTCGGGAAACTCCTCATCAGTTTTGTTGGGGTTTCTGGGTTCCTTCCTCCCCCCCCCCAAGTCCTAGTGCCATTGTGGTGCTCGTTGTTTACCTCGGACTCGGGCTGAGTGAGAGCGTGGCGACTTTTTTGGGGGGGAGGGGGCGGGGAGTACGTCGCTGCTGAGGCAGTGGAGGTGGCTGGGGGTGCCTTCTGATTCTCTTCCCCCTCCCCTCCCCCCCAAACCCTCTCTCTCTCTCCCTCTCTCCCTCCTTCACTCACTCGGCTCCCCCAGACGCTCGCAGCCCCGCGTCAATGGGCAGGGAGAGGGTCCTCGGGGCTGTCGTCAGCGAGGGCCGAGTCAAAAGTGGCATTTTAGTGCTTTGCTGGGGCTTTTTTCGCGACCTCCTGCTCCCCACCCTCGCTGTCCCCCGGTAGATGCCCTCGTTGGGGGTGCGAGGCTGTGGGAAGAAAGTTTAAGGTTTGTTACTATTAGTCGCGATTGGTGGGGAGGGCGGTGGGGGCGACTGGAAGGGACGATTAGGTGGCCTTCCCCTCACTGCGTTCTCCGGGGCTGTTGGAGAAGAATATTGCAAGTGACAGCCAGAAGTAGACTTTCTGTCCTCACACCGAAGCCCGAGCGAGCGGAGGGAGGGAGGGAAGCCAGGGGACCTTTCTTGTTCCTTTCTGGAGACCTTGTCCGCAGTGATTTTTTTTTTAATTTCTCTTTTTCCTTTTTCTTTTTAAGAGAACCCTCAGTCACCACCTGGCCTGCCCAGCACCACGATAGTGTATAAGCTCATAACGGGTTTTGCTTTGTTTTTACGATTCCCCCCCAACGAATCACTTGTCAGATCAATTTTATCTTCGCCCTCCTCCCCACTCTCCCCTCCTCCCCCATCGAAAACCCCGTTCTCTGAGGTTAGACATTTTACAAACCATATATGTTGTTTTTCGAATTGTGATTTTTTTTTTAACAGCCCCCACCCCACCCCATGGCTACTCTTGTAGACGTTTATTTCTGCCCTTCCCCCGCTTAGGGGGCGGGGGTAGGGGAAGAGAAAATAATACAATTTCAGGGGAAGTCGCCTTCAGGTCTGCTGCTTTTTTTTTTTTTTTTAATTTAAAAAAAAAAAAAGGACAGAAAACATCAGTCTTGAACTTCTCTTCAAGAACCCGGGCTGCAAAGGAAATCTCCTTTGTTTTTGTTATTTATATGCTGTCAAGTTTTGAAGTGGTGAGTTTCAGGTCGGTTTTGCTAATTTCACTCAGTAAAACTGCAGTGTTTCTGTTTCTAGATAGTACTTTGCTTCTTTGTCTCTTTAAAAGGTCACAGTGAAAGCTTGGCCTGGATCATGCCGGCCATATGGAATGGATAAGGGCACAATCTCTTAAAATGTGATTGTGTGGGGGCGAGGGAGGCAATCCAGTAAGGAACTCGTTGAAAAGGATCCCACAATGCAAAAAATAGGTTCTTGAAACCGGATTTTCGTGCTTTTTTTTTTTTTCTTTTTAAGGGAAATAATTGCTGTGTTTGAGTTCACTGTTTTAATTCAGTAATTATCACTTATGGACTTAGTTTATGGACAGGGAAATGGGGTTTTGAGAAAGTAGCCTGCTTTATATATGCCAACCAGACGTTACACTAAAATGTATTTTAAAATGTGTAACTCAAAAAAAAGTCTTCAGCCTGGCATCTGTTGAGACCATAGTTAGTTCCCGTGCTGTCAGTCCACCAGGCCCCGTGGAGACTGCTCTTTACAATTCCAAACTCAGGTTTGGTGAACTTTAGCCTTGGGCATAGAGTTTAAATGAGTAAATTGGGTGTTTTATGTGCATGTAATTTTGCTTATAACGTAAAGCTTTTTACAAGATGACTGAGTGTTTAATAGATACTTAGGTGGGTATTCAAAGGACAATTTTGCATGACCTATATGATGTTTTGATTGTCAATACATTAACTAAATTATAATCTATCAATTTCATTTGCTGTACAGTTTATAATGCCGTTAAGCCTCATGACTACTAAGTATGTTTTGTAGCATTAACTTTGATGCTGTTGTCTACTCACCCCCTCCTTTTTTTTCCTTAAATTGCCCCACGGGTTAAGTATTTTCTTTTCAAATCATGTTTTCAAATTCATTTTCTGCTCTAGGGTAAGGCAACCAATTTCAGAAAAAGCAGCTTTGTATTATAAATTCACATGAAACATTATAAAGAGTGTTTTGAATAAGTTAATAATCATCGCTCTCTAATTTTGGCTTTAGTTTAATATAATGGAGAATAGTAATCTTGATAAAAAGTGGTTAAAAGAGGCACATTTATTCTTAATGAACCTCATAACCAAAAACAGATGGGACCTCTATCAACGGTAAACCTTTAGTTCTCTGTGTGCCACCCTGGAGTACAAGGATAAATAGCCATTATTTCTCAAACTTTAGAGTTCTTCAGTTGGCATTCTTAAAGTTGCTTTTAAGCCTACAGATGACCATTGCTCCCTCCTCCCCATTCACCTTTTTTTCTTGATTATAATGGACAAAGTAGTCTATGGTTAAAGAGAAGAAAAACATGCTTATAGAAAGGCCATGCTAATACAAGCTTTTACTAGATCGGATCTAAATAGCTTTTCTGGTATAATATTTTATTTTGAAAGTACAAGAGATGTCAAATTACTAGGCAGCTGGAACAATGTAGTAATTATCATATTCTGATTTTCCTAAATATGATCCCCTCCCACTTAATATTGGTAAGCTGAATACTTCAAGTACTGTGAAAGTTCATAGAACAATTTTACTCGTCTGTTCTTATTAAGTCTAGTTTAACACATATTTAGAAGTGATTTTGATGTCGTACTCATTGATTTATCATAAACAATGTGAAAATTGATGTCCGTTGTATAACAAAATAAGTATTTTTTTCTGAAGTTAATTAAGATGTAGACTTCGTTGCATACTGAGATTATTTTTGAACACTGGTCATTATGTTTTATCAAAATCATCAAGTTTTTTTTTTTTAAAGCCACTTTGGCATTTGAATCTAATGTGTATATCACGAAGTATTTTCAAGTTTTTTGCTATTTAAAGTAGCATTCTATTACTAATGGACTCCTAAATATTAACTCTGAATAAAACATGTGAGTTGTAATGCTTCAGTATCTGGGATATTTGAAGAAATCTTCCACTTTTATCCATTTACTTGGAGGTGAAATGATCCAATCACACGTTTGAGCCAAGACTCGAGGACATCTATAACAGGTCACATACCTCTTGAAACTTTGACAGTAGAAAACTTTTTCTACAAATTAACCTACAAAGCCAGTGGGGAGTTTAAAAAGTGATGTTTGCTACCTTCTTTTGAGGTGGTATATATGTATATGTGTATATGTATTTTTTCTCATAAAATTAAACTATATGTAAAACAATACATCACATTTAACTTATATTTTGGGGTGTGGTAACTTTTCCATCCTTGATTAAAGTGTTGCTGTTCTGTAATGAGTTCCTAATTTTTAAAAATTGGGACTACATAAATACAATTTGTTATTTTCTTTTCTAGGTATGCTTGTGGTAATTCTTGTTTTAAAATTAAGCCCATTTCCCCTACTTAATTTTGTTAGTAGGTGACAAATTACCTTTTATTCATGTGTGTTGGTACAGTTTTCACAAATGATGAAAATGGAACACTGTTATGTAGAAATATAGTAACATCTGAGTTATATATTTAGCTAGGCAATCCTACAAATACCTATATGTGTGTTGAGAGATATTTAGGGGTAAAATATTTGCTGTGTGTGTGTGTGTGTGTGTGTGTGTGTGTGTGTGTGTGTGTGTGTGTGTAGAGAAAGAGAGAGAGAGAGAGAGAGAGAGACCCTGCTCACCCAATTGTAACATGTCTTCTTTTTAAATTCTGGCAGGTGATCTTTAGAGGGTAACTGAGTATGGATCATTTGAACGAGGCAACTCAGGGGAAAGAACATTCAGAAATGTCTAACAATGTGAGCGATCCGAAGGGTCCACCAGCCAAGATTGCCCGCCTGGAGCAGAACGGGAGCCCGCTAGGAAGAGGAAGACTTGGGAGCACAGGTGCAAAAATGCAGGGCGTGCCTTTAAAACACTCGGGACATCTGATGAAAACCAACCTTAGGAAAGGTAAATACTTGCCAGCCAAACCCTGGAAAGCTGCGAGCCCTGTGTCTACCCAAGGCCACTTTGTGTGGGGATGGATGGAGATGCAGAACCTGTCTTTGTATGTTTTTTTCCTTGATTCTCTTTCTGATCTGAAATCCGTTACATTCCTGGCTGCAGTGTCAGTCACGTTTTGAAAGTGTGGGCTCTGTGCCTGAGTGGAGCATCTTACTCTACTCTAGACTGGAATCATTGGACATTTAGGGTGATAAGGACTGAATGCAGTATAATGGTCTTAGTTAGGCTTCCATTGATAAGGTGCTGTTGTAGTAGAGAATGTAGGTGGCCACTGCTAAAACTCACCTTGATTAAGAAGAAGATACTTAGATTGTTTGAGTACTGCCCTAGCTTTTTCATAAGATGACTTGTTGTAACGCAGTTTCAGAGGTAATGGAAATCTTATGTGATACGATGTAAAAGTTTTGTGATGTCATTTTTTGTGTGGTTTGTTTTCTTAAGAGCAAATTTATTGTTTAGCAGTGAAAAACCTGACTCTTCTAGTTTTTTATTTTGCTATAACTGGGTACTTTTGATAAAGGAAGGGCATATTTAGGCAAGTTTATAAGGGAAGTATGTGTAACTGTGACTCCTTTCTACCAATTTTACATTGAATTGATGAAGTTTAACCTAACTTTGACCATGTTCGACACTGTTGTTTATGTAAGGCAGTGCCTATACTGGGTGTAATGTGTGTGCCTCATAATGGTCTTTATTTTGTTTGTGAATAACTGTGTATGGGAGTCAGATTTTCCTTACATTTGCTAAGCACAGGATAAAAATGCCATCTTTTAGCAACCAAGAATATTAAGTAGATAAAGTTAGAAGGCAGAGGAATTTCATTGTGTTTGATGCATAACATTTATCATACAATCATTTATTTTTTCCTTGGTTTGGCGAAAACAAAGAATATATTGATCCTGAAATGAACAGACACAGCAGTCCGTATTGTTAGATCTTTATCTATTAAAAATGGAAAAACAGCACTTCAGCAAATTCTTTGGCCTCTACTCATGATTACCCTATTTATTGATTGTTTGCCAAGAATGTATGCATCTTAAGAAAGCCAGGGTAAGAGCATTAAAAATATAATTTATTACGGCTTTTCAAACAGAGTGCATTAATATTGTACCGTGAAGCACTGGGGCTCTATAAAAAAGACTTTCTGACGCCTGCAAACATATAAGTTCCATAAATTCCTAAATAGGAGATTTCAGCTGTCTCTGGTATTATGTGATATTTGCACAGCAAACTTTAATGCCAGGACAGTTTTAGACAAGGATTCTACAGACTTCTCTGCTCCTTATGGCAGACGTGCTGTTTACACAGGCTCATAAACCTTCAGCAAAAGCTTCTAAGACTGCCTCCAGGTTTAAATCATGTGGTATTTTTAGCATTCAGCAGTGACCAGTGCACTCCCCTTTTAATGCTGGAAGGTTATGAAGTTGCTGTAGTTGGAAGTCTCACCAAACACAAGCACACATAATCAGATGGTTCAGGGAAGGCCTCCTGTTCAGCACTGCTCCCAGTATCAGGAGGACGGCTGTGACAGTTTGCTGGAAGATATAGCAGCTAGATTTCTAATGAAATGAATACGATTGTCACTTTAGCAATAGCCACCTTAATTATCGACAGGGTACCTCCAAGTAAAGTCTAAAATATATCCAATACATTTCAACAGTTCGAAAAACCTGCAGTTATTTCATAGGTCTAAGGAGCAGCATATGTAGTAGAACAAGTCTGTATCATCCCATAAGAAGAAAAATCAATGCGTATGTTTTTGTTGTACTAACCCAACTCTTTGAAGACATCAGGACAGGAGGAGGAGAAACCAAAGTACAGTAATTTCACTTCCTGCTCAAATGCTTTTTTTCTTTTCTTAAAGCAGTGCATTGATGGTGACTTATTTTCAAAATGCAGTTTTTAATTGTAGAAGGTTCTCTGCTTACTTCAAACAACAAAATTACAACAGCCTTTTAGTGGTGGTTTTTTTTGTTTTTTTTTTTAAATCTTATTTTTTGTGCATGGTTTCTGTTTGACAGGCGCTAGATAAAAATTGTGGCTGAGATGAGAAAGCACTACTCAAGAAAAAAGGGGTTGAATGTTTTTGTTTATTTGCTTAGGAGATTTTGCCAAAGTACCTTCAAGCCAAGGAAGAAATCACCAGTTTGCATATTGCTGTTTTTGCTGTGGTCTCCCCAAGTCTTCTTCTGATCCCTGACAGCTTCTCTCTCTGGTATAAAACAGCTGAATGAATGACAAGAATATTGGCAAGCTCTGCGGCTTGTTTTTTTAATGCCTAGACTGTTGGGTACCTCCGAATGAGTTTGCGAGCTTTTCTAAGTAAACCTAAGTAAAGGGTTGTTTTTTGTTGTTGTTGGTGGTGGTGGTGGTGGTGGTGGTGTGTGTGTGTGTGTGTGTGTGTGTATGTGTGTGTGTGTTTTGACAGAGCTATACTCTCTTGTGACCAGTTCACTAAAGCTTTGGTGAAGATGCACATGTAGAAAAATGTAGCTGTTTTACCGCCAGCTTCTGTTCAGCAGAAACAAGCAAATAGAGCATTTTTAAAGGGCATCTCTGGTGTCAGTAGGAAATCCTGATTTTTTTTTCTTTTAGCTCTGGATTGGCATGCACTAGACATTTTCAGAAGTTGGTAGGATTCTGCGAGTCCAGAGGGCAGAGCTTATAGAGGCATTAATGTTATAGGACTAATTGGGGATCCTGGGTGCCCTGTTAAAGTAACCCTTGTCATCATTTATGCTAAAGATGATACCCTCCTGGCAGTTTGCCACAGTACAGTTCAGATGCATCTGCCTTTAACCCTTTTCCGTTTATCATTGGAAGTCTGACAGTACGCTGCATAAACACCTTGAGCACTCCAGCATTCCATGATTTCAGTTTCTAGAAGCCTCTTTTCTAACAGTGATATGGCCTGTGCTTATTAATCATCTGACTACTGAGTTATTACGTTGGATTAAAGTAAATAAAAAGGGAACACATCTTGAAGTCTATGTAGATTCCTTTATCCTAATATGTCATATTGAGGCCAGCTTCCTTTTTTCTCTCTCATTTTTATTCCATTTGCTATAACAAAGATTGTTCATTTTAAAGACGTATGGTTACTGGGATATCTTTTTAGTCAGGTAGGTGAAATGAGTAGCCATAAAAATCTTATTTATCTACATCATGCACACATTGGAATCATATATTTTGAGCATCAGTTTGGTTAAGTTTTGTGTTTCTTTTATGGAAGCTTTAGAGTCCATATCTTGAGAAAGAAAAGTGCTAATAATGTTATAGTCCAAGATAATTCATTTGGACACAAAAAGGAAAAGTTTAACATTAAAAAGCCTGTAGGAAGCAGGAAGGCGGTTCTTCTGAAGACAACTAGAGTGAGTTACGTTTGCACACTGTACACCACTCACAACAGATCAGACAAGACACTCATTTCTCTCTTGTCAGCATTATTATTTGATCAGAAAGGTAATTTTGCATTAACTGGTTTTAGTTAAAGCAGAGCCCAAGTTGCTGTAGGACCCAGTATATACGTTCTATTTAAATATTCCTATTACATCTTAAAAATATAAAAGACTGTATATATGTGTGCGTGCCTGCGTTTCTGTGCCCTGTCTGCCTTGGAAACACAGTCTCCCCTTCCCTCACTGTTGTGAAGATTTATTTTCATGGCTTAGTTTTTCCTCTTCCCT